CAAAGTATCTTTCAGTATGAAATCATGTTAAAATTAAAATATCTTGAGGCGTTCCAAGATGGAGGTGACCAGTGTGCACCATATCTGAGGTGCACAGGACCCAAAACTCAGAAGTTGGTGAGTGGAGGGGCAGCTGAAGCCAAAACATCCACACTGAGGCTTCCTGGGTGAGAGGGGACAACCTGTGAGCTGGGACAGTTTGTATATAGGTCACTTGTGGACAACTCCAGGGACTAAGAGTGGAGAATATTCAATCCCTTTCACTTCCCCTTTTGCCAAGCGTGGGTATCCCTGCTTGGCCTGGCGGCCTGCATAGGCCTCTGCCCCAAGCACTGAGACAGCTTGGCTGAGACTTCAGTGATTGTCCCAAATACAAGCCTCTGTGCTCAGTGACTGAAAAAGCACAGGCAGGCCTCCCAGGGGAAGGGGGAGATTGCTGCTGGGGTGTATTTTATTGAATATTTTTGCATCAATGTTCATAAGAGAGATAGGTGTGAAGTTCTCTTTTTTGTTGGGTCTTTGTGTTGTTTAGGTATCAAGGTGACTATGGCTTTGAAAGTCTGGTACAATTCTGGGCTGAAACCATCTAGCCCAGAGCTTTTATTGGAAGGGAGTCTATTGATGACTACATCAATTTCCTTTGGGGATATAGGACTATTAATCTTTTACCTGATCTTTACTTAATTTTGGTAGATGGAATCTATCAAGAAAATTGTCCATTTCTTTTAGATTTTCAAATTTTGTGTCATATAGGCTTTTGCAGTACGACCTAATGATTGTTTGGATTTCCTCACTGTCTGTAGTTATGTCCCTCTTTTAATTTCTGATTTTGCTGATTTGGATAGTTTCTCTCTGCCTTTTAGTTAGTTTGTCTAAGGGTTTGTCTGTCTTTTTGATTTTCTCAAGGAACCAGCTCTTGGTTTCATTGATTCTTTGGTTTCATTGGTTATTTGTTTTTAATTGTCCATTGTAGACACATTGTGTATACCAACCACCCATCAGTCACTTTGTAACCCTCTTACCATTTAGGTATTATAGTGTATTCAAGTAAACCTTATAAAACAGTCTACTGCTACACCACCCTGCCTACATTATTCACTTTACTTCACCATGTAGGTATCATAACATTTTATATCAGCATAGGAAGTGTAAATACAAAAAGTAAAGTACAGATAAGTGCAGATAAGGAGGAACTTCAGATATTTAGAGGGAAATCACAATTACAGAGTTATATAGCAACATATTTTTACAGGAATTCTTTATATTGTCAATTGTAGAAATTGCCTAATGTAGAAATTTTACTTGATTATAAGCATCATGTATAGGAAAATGCTGAGATGTAGAGATTATTACTGAGGTTTCACAAATTCACTAAGAAGATTTTGGCTGAAGCATGTCCACCATGAATAAGGGGAACACACACACACACACACACACACACAAACACACACACACACACACACACACTGTGTGTATAAAATTCTTTATTGTAAAATGATGAAGAGGCTGAGAAAGATTACCTATTAATGGTTACATTATCGATATGCAGAACTTGGCAGAATGTAGATGCGTCTGTGTAAAGTGAATCTAGTAATCGCTACACTATGGAAACTGGATAAATATGTAATGTTCACACACTCAAAACATTTTCATTTGTTTGTAAAGGAATAATGGAGCCCATTTAGATATGATATAAAAAGACTTAGAGCTCATCATCATTAATTTGCATATGACAACTGAAACATGAACTTATAATTGGCAGCTGACAAAATCAAGATAGAAAACACATGTGTAAAAATACCTTTAAAGAATTTCAGTGTTCTGCAAGAACAAATCAAAGATGAAATATTATAAAATACTGGTTTGGGGAATTGTTTATAATTTGGTTCCTTTTTCCCTCCCCCTGATAGGGGATCAGCCTTGCCAGGCCATAGAAGAGGACAATGCAGCCAGTTCTGATGAGACCAGATTAAGCTAGGGTCAAATGGAAGGGGAGGAGGACCTCCCCTATCCATGGACTTGGAGAGGGGCATAGGAGGAGATGAGGGAAGGAGGATGGGATTGGGAGGGGAAAAGGTAGGGGGTTACAGCTGGGATACAAAGTGAATAAACTATAATTAATATAAAAATAACAATTTAATTAAAAATAACTTTTTCAAGCATTATAATATTATGGACATACTATTCTTTAACTTCACATGTATAGAAATTTTGTGTATCACATGTCATGGAAATATCAATATTGGCAGCACACAGTATTCAGTCATAGATATTTACAGAAACAATACAGAAAATGCTCTAGAGATGAAAGAACTATATAGATAAAATCTTAGTCCTCCTGTCTCTGTATGAACTCAGTGGTGGGCTCTTTGATCATCTCCCACGGATGGGGGTGCAGCCTTACCAGGCCGCAAAGAAGGACAATGCAGCTAGTCCTGATGAGACCTGATAGGCTAGGGTCAGAGGGAAGGGGAGGAGGACCTCCCCTATCAGTGGACTTGGAGAAGGGCATGGGAGGAGATGATGGAGGCAGAGTAGGATTGGAAGTGAATGAATGAGAGGTCTACAGCTGGGATATAAAGTGAATAAACTATAAATAATATAAAAAATTAAAAAAATAAAATTTCAGAGGCCCTCTGTGGGAGGCTTCTAACTCGTTTCCTGTTTTCTTCTTCTTCTGATGTCCATCCTCTTTGCCTTTCGGGATGGGGATTGAGCATTTTAGCCAGAGTCCTTCCTCTAAATTAGTTTCTTCAGGTGTATAGATTTTATCCTATATTGTATGTCTATATGAATGAGAATATACTGTGTGTGTCTTTCTGCTTCTGGGATAGCTCACTCAGGATGATCTTTTCCAGTTTGTACCATTTACCTGCAAATTTCATGATTTCCTTGTTTTTCATTGGTGAGTAATATTCCGTTGTGTAGATGTACCACAATTTCTGTATCCATTCTTCAGTTGAGGGGCATCTGGGCTGTTTCCAGCTTCTGGCTATTACAAATAAAGCTGCTACAAACATGGTTGAGCAAATGTCCTTTTTGTGTACTTGAGCCTCTTTTGGATAAATGCCTAGGAGTGGTATAGCTGGATATTGAGGAAGCGCTATTCCTAGTTGTCTGAGAAAGCGCCAGATTGATTTCCAGAGTGGTTGTACAAGTTTACATTCCCACCAGCAGTGGAGGAGGGTTCCCCTTTCTCCACAACCTCTCCAGCATGTGTTGTCACTTGAGTTTTTCATCTTGGCTATTCTGATGGGTGTAAGGTAAAATCTCAGGGTCGTTTTGATTTGCATTCCCTTAATGGCTAATGAGGTTGAGCATTTCTTTAAGTGTTTCTCTGCCATTCGATATTCCTCTACAGAGAGTTCTCTGATTACCTCTGTTTCCCATTTTTTAATTGGATTGCTTGGTTTGCTGCTTTTCAGCTTCTTTAGTTCTTTATATATACTGGATATTAGCCCTCTGTCAGAAAAAAAGTTTGGCAAAGATCCTTTCCCAATCTGTAGGCAGTCGTTTTGTTTTGATGACGGTGTCCTTTGCTGACATTCATGGCTAACTCTGCTGTGCTGCCCAGGTGAGGTGTAGAACCAACTCTTCCAAGTGCTGCAGCAGTGAGGGCCAGAGATAGACCTCCTGCTCTCATTATCCCAAGGTCAGGTGTAGGTGACAAGGAGAAAGGGTAGAAGAGGGCATCTCTCCCTCACCCATGCAGCCACCCATGCAACTACATGGCAGAGAAGGTACAGAGCCAGCTGTCCCACACTCACCACTGGGGCTGGCTCATCTATGCCTCTGCCATTAGAATCATCTCTATTGTGCTGCTCAGGTGAGGTGCAGGGCCTGCTTTCCCATGCACTGCAGCAGGTGAAGGGCAGGGTCAGCTCTCTTGCTTTCATGACCTTATCAGGACCTCTCCCTCTCACCACTGGTAGTGAGGGCAAAAGCAAGTGGAGTGAATCCTTTCCTTGCCTATGCCACTGCACAGCAGACAAGGGTCAGGGGCAGCATTTCCATGCTCACACCCTCAGGCGGCCTTACCTGTAACCCTCATGTCCAGGAACAGCTTTACTATAACTACCCAGGCAATATACATGGCCTGCTTTTCCCAAGTACTGTAGTAGGTAAAAAGCAGGCCTGGCTCTTCCTCTCTGATGACCTTGGGGCCAGCAATTTTGCCTACCAAAAGTGTCAAGGGGCAAGAGGGGAACATCTCACTCTCACAGATGTCACTGCATGGAGGAAAAATGGCAGGGCCATCTCTCCCATACTCAAACTCTTCTGGACAGCTCACCCATACCCTCTCCACCAGGATTACCTCTACTGTGCTGCCCAGGAGATGTATAGGGCCTGCTCTCCTGAATGCTGTAGCTGGTGAGGGATAGGGACATCTCCCCTGCTCTCATGACCTCAGGGCCAAGTCTCCCACATGCCAGAGGGGGTAGGGGTAAAGGAAGGAGGGTATCTCTCCTTTATCCATGCCACCACACTGAGATGAGTGGCAGGGACAGCTCTTCCAGGCTCAAATACTTTGGGCCAGCTCACCCACAACTCCTGCAATGTGTGGGTTCCACTCTCCTTAGTATGGTAGTTCGCTAGGGGCAGGGTCAGCTCTCCTGCTCTCATGTCCCAGGACCAGCTCTCCACAATGCCAAGGTGAGGAGTAAGGACAGTTCTACACATCCCTATGATATCAACATGTCCCCAAGAGGCAGCATAGTCCAGAAATGTATGCGTGGAATTTGGTGGTAACAGACTCCTGCTGCTGCAGGCCCACAGACCCAGATGTGAGTCCTGGTGGGAGCACAGACCAGGACTCTACCATGTTTCCAGACAGTATCAAGAGCTGTTCATGCCAGGCTGTTCCTCACTATCCTCAAATCTCCAGTTCTGCCTCTTTTCATTGTGCTCACTTTCTTCTGTTTCTCTTTATCTTCCTTTTATCTACCACTTACTAGCTCCTCTTAGTGATGCCTGCAGTCTCTTAGTGTCTGAGGTTGTCTAAGGAGTGGTATTATGAGTTTCTGTTCTGAGCTCTGAACATTGAGCATAGACATAGCCTCTCTCCTCTCCACCACCCAGTGATGTACACATGACACAGCAGCAACACCTACAATGCCTCTACCGGCAGGAAGGTCAAAGTACTTTTATTTGCTGATGATATGATTGTATACATAAGTGACCATATGTACTTTACCAGGAAACTCTATAGTTGAAAAACACTTTCGATAAACAGGATAGAAATTAATACATGACAATCAGTAGCTCTCCTATACACAACAAATGGCAACTCGACTGAGGGGAAAGATCAAGAAAATAGTGCCTTTATGATAGGCTCAAAAATATCTTGGTGTAACTCTAAGTAAGCAAGTGAAAGCCTTGTATAATATAACCTTTAAACACTGAAGAAATACAATTAAGGAGATCTCAGAGGATGAAAAGATTTTTCACTCTCATGAAATTATTTTGTGAAAATAGCCATCTTATAAAGAGCAATCTATACTTTCAATGGAAAGTTCATCAAAATTACAACAGTTCCTCACAGAACTTGAAAAAAAAAAACTTTAGCTTCATATGGAAACACACACACATACACACACACACACACACACACACACACACACACACACAGAGAGAGAGAGAGAGAGAGAGAGAGAGAGAATAGCTAAAATAATCCTGGCAAATAAAAGAAATTCTGGATATATAGCAACCCTGGACATTGAGTTGTATTACAGAGCTATAATAATAAAAAACCAGCATGGTATTGCCATGAAAACAGACACATTACTCAGTGGAATTGAACTGAAGATTCAGACATCATTCCACACATGGACACCTGATTTTGTAACCAAGAAAACATAAATACCCATTAGAGAAAAGGTAGCATCTTCATAAGATGGTACTGATCAAATGGGATGTCTGCATGTAGAAGAATTCAAATGGTTGTATACTTTTCACCCTGTACAAAGCTAAACTCCAAATGGATTAAAGACTTTTCAACATAATGCCAGATATGCTGAATATAGCAGAAAAGAAAGAAAGTGAGAATAGCCTTGAACTCATTGCCACAGGACAATACTTTCTGAACACAACACTGTAAGTAGAGACACTAAGAACAAATAATTAATGGGACCTCATGAGACTGAACAGCTTCTGTATGGCAAAGGACACCATCATTCTGAAAAAGTGGCAGCCTACAGAATGGGAAAACACCTTTCACCTATTATATACATGATAAAGAATTAATATCTAGAATAGATATATTACAAGAACAAAAAACAAAAATAAGAACTACCATCACAACAACACCAACAAAAACCCTTAATACCAAAATAACAAAGAACCCATTTAAAAATTGGGTATAAAACTAAGCGGAGAGTTCTCAAAAGATAAAACACCTCACTGTTTACCTTAGGAACACTTGAAGAATGTTCAACACCATTATTCAAATTAAAACTACTTTGAGATATTATTTTACACCAGCCAGAATGGATAAGATCAATAAAACAAATGACAGCTTATGCCAGTGAGGATTCACGGAAATAGGAACACTTGTCTATTGCTGGTGAGGATGCAAACTTGTCCACCTACTATGGAAATTTGTCTGGAGGTTCCTCAGGAAGATGGGAATCTATCTACTTCAAGATCCAACTATAGCAGTCTTGGCCATATACCCAAAGGACCCTACATCCTACAAAAATACTTGCACATCCATTTTTATTTCTGTTATATTTATAATACCAAAATTTGAAACAGCCTAGATGTCCATCAGCTGATGAATAGATAATGAAAATGTGATACATTTACACAATAGAATATTACTCAATTGTTAAAAATGAAATTATACTATTTGAAAAAAATCATTATAAGTGAGGTGATTTGGATCCCCAAAGACACATATTATATGTTTTCTCTTATACATATATGTTAGCTTTTGAGATTTCAATATATGTGCTGCAATCTGAATAATCACAGAGGTTAGGTACCTAGTACAGAGCAAGAGGAGAGGAGATGTTCTTGCAAGTAAGGGAAAATAGTCCATAGTGTTATAGAGAGATGAAGTGGAAACTAGAATAAGAAGGTTAAATTGGTAAAGGAATGGGAGAGAAGGATAATTGGGGAAATATGGAAAGAGCCAAATAACACTACAATCCTTTTGAAAACCTATATGGAAACCTACTACTGTAGAAACTTCCTAGAATATATACATATATGAAAGTAATTTAAAAGGAAATATGTCCCTATTAGACATATTGCACCACCAAGTAAAATTTTCAGGGCCAGGAATGGTTTATGTCTTATTGAGTCATTGGCCAAAGGCATTCAATGGGATTCCCTCATACATCACATCCCATTGCCAAGGCTATTGGTTACCATCCACAGTGAGATGTCAAGGCCCTATTGCTGATGATACTACTTACTCTTAACATCGAACACAGAGACATTGAGCTGATTCTCAAATAGAAGCATCATCCCAAGTGCTTTGCACATAATCAACCCCTTTTCGATAAGTTTTAAAGTTCATTCTGTATGATGAAACCCAAACTGACACTGACAAAGTAGCCAAGAACCTGAGACCTGGTCATAAGCCTAGGGGAAAACATGCCACTATTGTTTTGCTAGAGGAACAAAGCAATAAAATGACCCCTAATGACATATTGCTATACCTATAGATCAGTTTCTATCTCAACCTTTATCAGAGAAGGTTCTCCTTTAACAAATTGACTCACGACTAGAAAATGTACAAAGTGTGAGAAACACTGGAACACTCAGTCCTAAATGGAATGTTTTTGTCAAATACCTTCTCTCAAGTTTCACAGATCTCTTCAGAAGAGGAGACAAAAGATTGTAAGAGCCATGGGATGGAAGATTCCAATAAAATAGTGTCTTCCAGACACAACAGATATGATACACATATGAACTCTTAGAGACTGGGATAACATACATAAGATCTGCACAGATTCAAGCCAGACAAGGTTCTAAAGTGTGAAGTAGACATGAAGTCTGTGGTGGTTTGAACAAAAATACCCTCCATGGCCCTATAGATAGTTACACTATTAGGAGGTATAGCCTTGTTGGAGCAGGTCTCTGATGCTCAAGCCATGCCCAGTAGGATGGTCTCTTTGAGCTGCCTGCAGATCTTGATATAGAACTCTCAGCTACCTTTCAGCACCATATCTGCCGGTGATGATAATAATAATGGACTACACCTTTGTCCTGTAAGCCACTTCCAAGTAAATGTTTTCCTTATAAGAGTTGCTGAGGTCATGGTGTGTCTTCACAGCACTAGAAACTCTAAGACAGAGTCTTGTCCCTAGCCAAGAAACTATGCAACTGATACCAGCTGGTAAAGGGAAAGTCAGCTTTCTCCAATGTAATTGGGTATATCAACCACATTTCAAGGCAGGCCTCAATGACCAAGTATAATTATCCAACACAAAAGTAACTCAATGTTTTGTTTTCCTTTGTGGGTTTTTTTTTTGTTTCATTTGTTTTGTTTTGATTTTTTGTAGGGTTTTCTTCGAGAGAGAGAGAGAGAGAGAGAGAGAGAGAGAGCACTAGGGAGCTAGAGTGAGCATACTATTAGGTGTATATGGAGGCGAAGAGCTTCTGAAGGATGGGAAAACATGATCAAATAATATTGTATAAAAAAAGTATTTTTTTAAATAAAAAGACATTCACTGCGGCATGGGTAGCCTCTTGGGCTTCACCTCTGAAGAACACTGACTCTACTTCCTTAGCAGTCCAAAACTGACTGATAGCTCCTCAGCTACGGGTAGAACTTAGTGAGTTCCCTACCCACCCATGATAGAATTTTGGATGGCTTAATCTTTTATAGACCTTGTACATGAAGTCATAGTTGCTGTGAGTTTTGGTTAACATTTTCTATGTTCTAAGCATACTTGTTCATTCTATCTATATAGTGTGGTGTTCAGTTTAAATCAAGATCATACTATGTGGACTTTTAAACTTGTGATGTTAAATAATATTTGAAATAATTTTTATGGAGATTTACCAAATTTATTTAGTTGGACGTGTGAGTTGTGCCCTGTTTTTCACTTAGGTTTTCATTAAGGTTTTGAGACAGGGACCCACGTAGCCCAGGGTGGCTTCAAACTCACTATGTAGCTGAGAAAGACTGAACTTTTGATGCCCCGCTCTACCTCCGAATTTCTGAGATTACAGTGCTATAGTACTATGAATATGAGATGAGAGACAAGAGAAGAATTGGAGGGGGGGGATGAAGGTAGATTTGATCAAAACACATATATTCATGTACAAATACTCAAACACAAAGGAAAGAAAAGTGATTTAAAAATATTTCAAACTTAAAATAGAAGGCAATTAATATCACTTAACTGATCTTCCTTTAGTATATCCCTCTTTTTTTCATAAAAAATGTAAGTCAGAGAAAGATATTTCAATGAGAGAAATTCTTGCTGCAACTAAATGTGGGATTACTACTGTAAAAAACAGGATGTACTTCATTTGTGTTTTTGCCAAGAGTAGATCATGAAATTAGTTTCATCCCTTGATCATGGCTGATATTTCCTGGACCTGTTTAGATCATGCATAAATAATAATCTGAACAAATAAATATATCACTGAATAGTATCTAGATATGGCATGAGTCTTTTATTTGTGTTCAATTCAGGCCAGAATTACCAATTTGAAAGATGTGCTGTTCCTAAGATTCACATTTCTGAGCAAGCAGTATTTCTGTGTTTTGAAGTATCCTACAAAACTCAATGCTCTCTGAAGGTTCTTTAACCTTAAGAAATGTAATAGTCCATATCAAGATAATAAACCCTTGTCCTGAATCTAGCCCATTTGCTTACACTGCATATATTTAGGTATTGCATGGATAGTATATGTAATTAGGGTATGCTTTGAGGCATGCATCTCAGCTTTCAACAAGCTTGCTGCGCTGAATTCCTGGTTTATGTTCTAATTCTTCCTAGAAGTTGAGTCCTATTCTTCATCTAGGGGTGCTTAATTAAGATTGTGATTAGAGCCTAAAACCGATCCTTGCCAGTCACTATCTGCCTTGTAACTGTAGATCTGTTCTCTGTTTTGCTTAAACCCAGGCTTCACGGTCCTTTTCAGACCCAGGAAGATACTATGTACCCAT